TATCGGGGGGGGGGGGAGTTGTTTGTTTTTTTTATGTTCCTAATGTTCCTAATTGCATTCCCCTGCCCCCTGAATTCTTCATTAGCTGAGTTCTTCAAGAAAGTACAATCTTCAGTGATCTAACACAAACCCTACCTCAAACGCCCCATCTACCTGAGTCCCCAAATCCCCCTCACCCATTTCTGCTCCATCACACAGCTAGCTGCCTGTAACTCTTCAACCCTCAGATAAACTGAGAGAGCAGAGCCCAGGCAAGCAGGCACCAGCTGCAAGCTAAGGAAGACAGGGGCCAGGTGCTTCCTGGTATGGCAATTCTCTGGTGTGCTCTAAGCACACCTCATTCTTAAAATGGGCCATAAGGATTTCTTTCTTACATCAGTGGGACCAGGAGAGGTAAGAGGTAAGAAAGGATAGGGAGCCCTGGCCAAGAACATGATCAGGAAAGGGACATGGTCCCATAGGCCCTCCGGTCATTCACATCAAGAGGGGAGGCTGGGAAAGGAAGCCAAAACACAGCCCAAGGAGTCTGGGCCATGTGGGTGCAGTGAATGTGCTTTGAAGAAAAGACCAGTGGCGCTTCTGACTGAAGAAAGATGTCATGTAGTGCCTAGTTTGAGGCCTGAAACCCTAGGGACAGGCACTGTCTAGGGCGCTGAGTGAAAGGTAGGCAGGGGTTAAGCTCCAGAGAAGAGCCCACGAGGCTCTCCTGGGAAGAGGGGTGGGCTGAGACAGGACAGCATCCAGCTTAGACGTCACACCATAGCAACGCCACAGAGATCAAGTGTGGTGGAGCCTAGAGCAGAGGAATGGGGTCAAGGATAATAAGGTGCCCAGCCCCAGGACACGGCAACACAGCTACCTGTGCTGCTATCTGTGTATTCTTAGGAAAGTCAGAAGCGAGATCATGCACTGAGGAAGCAAGAGAAGACACGAAAGGGAAAGGAAGACAACGGCCATGGGGCAAGTAAGAAAGTCAACAGTAGGGAAGAGCCCCCCTAAAGATTTAGGCCAACCCATGTATGGTCTTCTGATTGGATTCAGGGGTGGGTATGCGTCCTCAGGCTACAGAAAGGCTTTTAACACCTCTGGACTCCATATCATCCTCCCATGAAGTCTAGGTTTCAATCAGATCATGTGACCAGCACAGAAAGAAGACCTTTTGTTGTGTTTTGGTGTCTCCTGCACCACCTGCCAGCTATAAAATGGGAGTGCTGCTTCTAAATAAAGGAATAAAAGGGCAAGATAGCCAGGACACCCACAGATAAGAGCTACCATGGGTCCCTGTATTTAGTACCAGAGACAAGAAGAGATGCTGCCATGACACAGTGTGGCTGGACCATGCAGGGTCAGCATTAAGCACAGGGTGGGGTGGTCCAATCTTACTTCTAGGGTGCAGGCAGGAAGGACTGTGGCAATAGACTGGAGATTTCCAGGCTGTGTGGGCTCTGAGCTCTGCCTCCCAGAATGCCAGGAAGCAGGATTCCAAAAGCTTCTGGACCAAGCTCTGGAAGCAGAAGGTGCCAAGCAGAGGGTGTCCCACTGGCACAGGGTGAAGAAGTACAGGGCGGAAACAGGGCTGCTGCCGCTGGAGGGACACTCATTGGTGGCAAGAGCTGCAGGAGAGTGTCACAGCCTTGATGTCCTCTGTATAGAAACAGCCCCTGCACTGGCAGCGTCAGCGTGGGCTGCAGGGCAGTTGCCTGGAGAGCGTCTGGGTGGGACTAATAGACTCGAAGCCTCTGAGGAGGAGGAAAATGTGCGTTAGACTTTAAGTGGTCACAGGGGGCGGGGGACCACTGTTGAGTAGAATGCCTGCCTGAATGTGTGAGGGCCTAGGTTCATTCCCCAGCAATACCAAAAAAGAAACAAGTGAGCAGAGGTCAGAAAGGGTCAACTGACTCAGTGTGAAACTGGCCTTCTTAGGCACATGCTACACAGAGTAAGCCGGGAAGGAGTCCACAGAGGCTCGTGGCTGCAGCCTGAAGTTGTCCTGTCAGATTTGATTGAGAACAGGGCAGCAGGGATGCTGGGTCAGGAGCTCTGTTGGAGCACTGACAGGAAGGTGTGGCAGGGTTTCTGTCCAGGGTGACATGCTTATAAAGGAAGCTGTTCAGAAAGCAAGCACGCACCCACAGGGGTCCTCTTGCCAGCCAAGGGCAACTCAAGAGCCACTGGAGGGGAGCAGGGAGCAGGGAGCAGGAAGGGTCTTGGAAGCTACCTACATGAGTGTGGGAAGGAAGCATTCATCTCCAGGTGCTCAGGGAAGACTCCACCTTCAAGGTTTTGTTTGTGTTGCTGTGTGCTGAGGTTTGTTGGTCCCTTGGCCTTGAAGGCTTTGTAACCTGTTGTCAACTCAGCATAACAATGTCCCCTGTAGATGTCCCTTAAGCAGCCCAGGCAGAGACAGAGGCTGTGAGAGTTCCTGTCCCATCATGGCCCCTTCATCGCGGGGGCGGGACTCACCTGCAACCATTGTGCCCTCTGTAAGACCATTGTAGGGACAGACTGTGGCCTTGGGGCTGTTGGGTGGGTATGTAGTGGGTTATGACACTTGAACACAGCTTCTATAGGTCCCCTGCAGGGTGTGATCTGAATGTGGTCCAGAGACAGTCTAAGGCAAGCCAAGTTTGTAGCAAAGGCCTTAGGAGCCTCTCTAATTCATGTAGATTTGAGGGTGGTTTCCTAAGCTGTACTCTGCCAACCATTCTGGTGGCTCCATGGGCCTTTAATCTCCCTTTTCAATCTTTCTTGACATAGCTCTGGGATTGGGCCTGTCTGTCTTACTAGACCCCTTAATTGCTCCTTGGAGACTCAACCAACAGTATGTCTTGTGTGTAGCAGTCAGCATCACATTTGGCAGAATGTTGAGACAAACATCCCCTGGAGGCAGTAGGGCACAGGCTCGGCACTGACCAGTCTGCATATGAACATTCACTTGGCATTTCTAGAGACAGAATGGGCCCAAAGAGAGCCATACTCTAGGCCAGCCAGACTCCTAGAGGAGAGGCTGGCACCTCAAGAAGGAGGCAGCCAGCTCTGCTGCTGTATCAGCTCTGCCTGATACTTCTTGGACAGGTTTATGAAGGGTCCCTGTGGGGCCACTCTCTGTTCCTGAACAGCTTGGGCTCCTAACTCCAGCTCAGAAGGAATGCACACTTGTCCTTGTCACCTCCTACTGAAGCTTTATCCCAGCTGTGCCTCCCACCTGAGCTTTTGACTACCTGGTTCCTTCCCGTATGGACAGAGCTGGAGTTTTTTGTTTTGTTTTGTTTTGTTTTGTTTTGTTTTGTTTAACAGCCTCATAAAATTGATGTCTCTGTCACACACTTCCAGAGTCACAGACATCAGATAATGTATCCTCCATTTCCCACGGAGGAGGTCCCTGCTGCGCATATAATAGGCTCCATGCCACTGTTACAGACCATAATCCACAGCATGGCACCCTGGGGGTGTCTGTGGCCAAGCACTCGGTTGCCCTCTCACTGTTTTAAGTGACACTGAAGAGACCCTTTATTTGCTAGCATCCCGCCAGGACTCCAAAACCAGAGGCATCATTTAAAATCAGGGTCAGTGACACTTTGACGGATGCTTAGGACTCAATAGCCAACCCTGGACAAAGTGGGGTGAGCTCTTCCTTCTCAGAGCTGGCATGAACACCTCCAGGGGTCCCCATAAACTGAAGTCCCCCAAGGAGTAGCTCTGTGTGGGTTCCCATCTCCAGATCCAACTCAGTGAGACCCTCCTTCGCCTGTGATAAATGTCTGGTCTTCATCCACTGCCCAAGGCCCAAGCTATGAGTGGCTTGAATGGGCCTCTGGGATCAGCCATGTCCTTGAACACCAACACATCCCTCACCACGGTCCCCAGGTACAGATCCAATGGCTCTTGATCCAGATGTTAAACCCTCTACTCAGCTTCTCCTGTCTGTGGCCATCAGGCTGCTTTCCTCTGGGTATCTCCTCCATGGTGTTGCCCCACCCCCACCCCCACCCCCACCCCAAGCAGGCAGGACCTCTTGGGTGAGTTTCCACATCTGTTCTGCTGCCTGTTCTACCAGCTGGCCATCAGCTGGCATGTACTTGTAGAAGCCCCGAGAAGCCTCACAGGCTCGTCTCTACTTGACAAGACCCTCCGTGACTTCCCCAAACCCTGCACGGCCCACCCCAGCCCTCTTCTCACAGCCTGTCTCCTTGTCTCACCTTCAGCTGCAAGCAGCTACCACCTTTGTTAAATGCCACGGCCCAGCTCAAATAATCCCCACACCCCTCAAAACTCTACCAAGGACTTCAAAGGTAGATGCCTCATCTAAGAGTCTCCAAATCTCCATGCAGTGTCCACTGGAAGAGCGCATCTGTGTCAGCTCCCTGAGAGCAGGCACCCAGGGCAACCATTCTGTTTCCAGCACTTGGCACAGAGCCGGGAGGTGGGGAAGCAGCGACGGTGTCTGCCGAGTTAAATACTCAGATCCACAAACCAAAGCCACCAAGGGTCCTCTCGCACACGCTGCCCTCCCTGTGCACCGGTGACGAGAAGTAATAACTCAGGCAACCATAGAGGTCTTGATCTGTACCGTGAGCCACTGTCAGCAGGACATGAGGCTGGGCCACACAGCATAGTTTTATTAATACACAAACAAGTTCCGCCAATGGGCGCCAGTCGATGGGTACACAGTTACAACAGTAGAAAAATCAGTTTGTAAAGCAGAAAAGTCAGGTGAAATGACTACAAAATGGGGGGAATGGGCTGAAAACTAGGAATTTTCATTGCAAGTCTCTTTGCATAAAATTTTTTACTTTCTGAATTAAATACATTGAGCTGCACAATCAAAATATATTTACAGTCATTCCAAATGGGCTACCAACATAGTTAATTTAAAAAAAAAAACAAAAAACAAAAAACTTCTTTTTTCTTTGCCTGTGTCTTTCCAAGATTATTTAAAATATGACTTTAGTTTTTTTAAAAAATACAATAAGGAAATAATTACATTCATAATGTGAAAACATTTTACAACTTAGAGTCATGAGTAATTCATTTGGACTATCTAGAATGTAAAAACTGATGTTAAAATGTAAAGTAAACCTTTGTTAGAAAATCAATTAAAACATCATATTAAAAACACCTTTGGTCCCTAAGAATTATGAACCGAAGACACCATTTTGAAAGCATACTTCAATCAAGTGTGTGGGAAGCCCAGGTTTCCAAAGACCACAGTGGTGTGTCCCCAGCTACTGGCAAAGAGTGTTCCTCAGTGCTGAAGTGCGGGCTTCCCACGAGAGTGACATGGCTGCTTGCTGCTTCCGCCTCTTCCTGGGGCTGAGTTGTTTGCGGAAGGCACAGGTGTTTCACTGTTATTTTCAGTTTATTTCACAGTAGAAACCCAGCTCGCTGGTGTGGTTAGTAGTAAGTCAGTGGGAACAGGACCCAGACATTCAATTACATCTTTAAAAACTATGTCATGGATTTGAAATGTTTCTGGTTTAAAATTACTTTAGAAAAGAAAAGAGGAAGACAACAGTCAATCACATTGACTTTGCCACGCCCATAGAATGGACCTCGGGTGTATCCTGTCTGCTGGTGAGGGCAGGTGTAAATGGAGGAGTCACTTGGCTCAAGCACCCAGAGCATAGGATGGTATCAAACTACAGGGGAGCCTTGTCCCTTGTCTCTAGAAGGAGAGGCCAGGGACCCCCTGCTGTTGCTTGCATGTGAATTCTAACTGGTGGGGGAACTGCAGTCCCCACAGAGTGGAAGCCTTCCTTGATGGCCCCAGGGCCTCGGATATTGCTTTTCAAGGCAGGTTTTCTGAATGTGCCAATTCTCCAGCCTATCAGTGTGGGCTTGGTTGACAAAGAAACAGCCAAAAGCGAATTGGGCAAGTGGACAGATGAGGCAGCACCAAAGCATGCACGAGACGAGACACGGGCATGTGAGGCAGGGGAACAGCGAGCATGCTGGGAGATTCTGTGTGCAGCGAGTCCATAGCCAGCTGATAGGGCATTCTGGCACCTGGAATGACCTGACTGACCCAAGCTCACCCTTGCAAGAACACTGGTATATGAGACTGTGTGGCAGTGAGGGCCTATACCCATGCCCAAGCAGGGGGCCACAGCAGGCCCCCAGGTGAGCATGATATTTGTATGCAAAGGGTTAGTTAGTGAATGGACGTAAAAGGAGAGGGGATTGTGAAAGCTGATGACATCTTGCCAAATTGTAACAAAGGTAGACCCCAAGAAACACTGTGGCCTCAGACAAGGAGAGACCCCAAAAGACGGGGCACCTCCCATGATCCAGAGGACCTGACTGCTCACAAAAGGGGGCTGGCTTGGCCCTCTGCCCACCTGACTCCACACAAAGCAAAACTGGGCCATTGATGGCTGGAGTCATGCCTGTGGCTTTGGGAGGGTCGTAGAATGAGAACACTGTGAGAATCCAGACAGGATGTCTCAAGGGTGTCCAATATGTACATATATAAATTAAAATTATATTTATTGAACATATACAAATAAATAACTTACTTTGAAACAAATGCTTTAAACTAGCTTTCTGACCAAATCTAAGAACATTAATGGGAACATGGGACAGCAGAGCCCTGTGTCAGAAGCCTTGCCTTCCCTGGGACCTACTTTATATGGCTCTGTGGAACTTACAGGTAGCCGAATGGATTACAAGCCTAGATTTCTCAGTATGAAATACAGACACCAGGATCCTGGAGCCTGCTTTGTCTTCATCAGGACAAGCTGAATTGAGGCTTATTTGCTGGACATGATGTTCCACTAATATCCCCACTCCATTACAGACTATGCTGGCCAGGACTGGCTGTTAGTTGGACATTTTTTCCTTATTTTAACAATCAAAGCCTGGAACAGCTTTCCTAGCAAAGCGGGGTACTGTCAGAGTGGCCAAAAACACTGCTCTGAGACCGAAGGCAGCAGAAGTCTATGGCACATCAAAGTCTCTTCCCTTTCAGAACACTAATGTCATGTGATATGAAATGGTCACAGCTCCCTCTGGTGACCCAAGGGGCTCACCCAGTGGCTGCTCTGTGAGCAGGTTGGTGTGTGTGGAGGCTGCTTCCCTCTTCCTGGTCCTTCTGCACAGTTTCCTGGTGGAGACTAGACCACATGGATGCTGGTGTAGAGGAAGGCACTAGAATGAAGCACCATCAAACAGCTGGCAAGTGGCTTACACAGGGCCAGCTTGGGGGAGACCTCCAGCTGAGCAGCTCCCCATGGCTGGAGTGATGTCCCTGAACACTGGTGACACCTTGCTGCTCTTTGGCAACTCCAAGGCAGCTGCTACAGGGCTGACGCACAGAGTGCTGACCCCAAACATGGACACTGCCCAGGGCAGGCCTAAAGGCACCTCTAGAGAGAGCCTGGGAAACTTTCCTTCTGTGTGTGCTAAGGACATTCTGGGCTGTGATGGGAAGGCTTGCCTCCGGCACAGCATCTCCAGCTTCTCAGTCTAGGGAACATGCCCGTTGCTCATGTATAATGGGTCCTGCACAAGTCTGCAGAGATGGCTAACTTCCTCCTTACCGCCAGCATCTCCCCATGGTGGAAAGGTCTGGACAGTACTGTGGAAGCCCCAAAAAGCCAGTTTCACTCTCAGACCCCTACGGTAGAGGCTAGCCTCACCCATGAGCTGTAGGCATCACAATCCTGAACATCTGAACTACACAAGCAAGTGCAGAGGCAAACAGGAGAGTGGGGAGGAGGCCCACCCAATCAGAACCTGTGATCCACTGTAAACCAGAGGGAGGTGCTCTGAGACGATCGTCTCTGTTCAAAGATGGTCCAGGTTCGACTACAGGTTCTAGATCCTGCTCTGTTAGATCCACAGGCAGATGGTGGCCAGTGTGTTTCCTGCTCAGCAGTCAGGGGGGCTGGGGTCTCGGGTCAGGGAAAAGGTGCATATGCTAGCTGAGGGCTGAAAGCTCTGTGCTGCCTCTCAAAATACACCATAAAATGGGAAACAGGGACTCTGTAAAGTTCCTAAAACCCAAGCAAAGCACATGATAAAAGGGGATGTTTTCTTTAAAAGCAAACAAAGGAAAAACAGTGGTAAAAGGAATGACAACCTTTCCATCCCGGCAACAAAAAATGTCTATCCAAAAGCAAAACCAAACCTTAAAAATCGCTTCACAGCACAATTCCTCACGGCTTCACCTCCAGTGACGGGGGACTGGGGGGCGGGGAAGTGGGGGGTGCTGCAGAGACACAGGGAGTTCATGCTGCTGCTACAGAGCAGGACCCTCTGGCAAACAGGGTGAGGTATGCAGCTCTGGCCGCACGTGGGGAAGGCTCGGGCCATCCTATCTCACAGGGCCATACAGTCCGTGGGCTGCAGGCTGGGGTTAAGCTGAGGTCCTCAGAACTGCGACTGCCCCATCTGCCAGAGGGTGCTTCAGAACAACTCTTCAACCCCTTTTGTTTCTGCTTTTTAACAAGTAAATTTGGACACCGAAGTTTTTAAGTAAACTTTCCTAAAGGGCACCGTCATACAGTAGAAAGTGCGCACGTAAGCCGGCCCAGGGTCAGCGGCAGACTCAGTCCAAACTTCAAGTCATGCTCAGGCCACTTTGGGAGGCGCACGTGTCGCACAGTGAGGCTGGTGGCAGTACGCAGTCTCTGTCTGGGTGTGGCTGGGGTCCCTCTATGTCCCATTCTTCAGCTCCCACTCCTGGAGAAGAGAGGTGGGTGAATGCAGGCAGACTGACCCTGGCCTCAAGTTGCCGCAGGCCTCTATGGCCAGGAGCCTTTGGGACCTACACAGTGTCAGGGCTCAGCCACAGACAACAGAATGCAGGCTGCCCCTGAACAAAAGAATTATCAAGCACATCCACTTCCATGCAGCCGGCCAGAGAAACATACAATCCAAGTACCAACAGGAGCAAATAGGCAGATGTGGCCCCTTCTGACCTGGGACACTCATCAGGCTAAATGAGGAAGGGAGGGAGCGGATGCCTGACACATAATGGGTCCCCAGATGTCATATAAGTAAAGACCACATATCATCTGAGCCCAAGGCATTTAAGTGTGTATGATGGGTAGTCGTGTGGGTGGAATGGACACAGCAGCCTCCGGGGATGGTAGCAGGCCCTGCACGCTGTCCTCAGACTTGGTCCTCTCAGCACATATCGTCAGCCACTACGGAGGTGTCGGGGGAGGTTGAGATGGGAAACCTGGCCAGGCATTCTCCTCTGCCGAGCCAAGTCAAATTCAAGGGCTGCGGCATGTGCCACCCCTCCCCCTCCCCTGCTCCTACCCAAGTGTTTCCGCCAACTGCTCCATTAGGATCTCATTTCTGCCAGTGATATGCCGCCAGCTATTAATTATTCTTGAACTTTTGGTTCTAGAAATGTCATGAGACTTTTTAGCTTAGTCAATATGTCCCCAAACTCATGTCCAGTAGGGACATGCTGCTAAGGCCATTCTTGAGGCTGTGTCAGAGGTCAGTTGCGGTGATAAGAACCTCTGTGCCTCCTGCCTGTACTGGCTGAAACTGGGGCCAGAAGCCCTCCTGCGCTTTATGGGAACTGTCTGAAGGTGGCTGGGTCTCACAGCAGTCACAGGCTCCTTTTCTTGTTCACCATCAGAAGGGGACAAGGCCAGAAAGTCCAAGCCAAGGGAGCCTTTCTTTCACAGTATGGCTCAGCTTCTCATGCCTCTTCTCTGACACTGGGAGGGGAAACTCACAGCTCCATTCTAACATGACTTGGGCAAAATGGGTCCTCTACAAAGGAGAGGTTGGCTATAGACTAAGAAGACCCCCGGGATGTGTAGGAAAACCACTGGAATGCCAGCTCAGTAACCTCCTTCTCCAACTCACCCATGAAGCCTTCCAGAAAGCATGCTTTCTTTCTTTCTTTGGCAAATCACAGCACGTAAGTGCTAGAAAGGACATTGGATCACTCAGCCCATCTGGAATACCCAAAGGAAGACAAGCCCAGGGTATGAGGTCTTGCCCACTTCAGAGGTGACCTGGAGCTCCAGGGTTCAGGTTTGTTGGCTGTCTTTGAACCCCAGTCCCTGAGGGTGTATGTGGGGAGCTGGAGGAGCATTTGCTCAGAGCCTCTGGCAGGAGGCTGTGTGCCAAGTGCACAGAGGCTCACTCTGAGCTCAGGTACCTGGCCCTGCTGGGCTCACCTTGGCCTTCTGCAGCACGTGCCCACGGCAAGGGGAGCTGCCTGAGGCTGGCTGGCTCTTCTTCAGGACGGCTGCACTGTTCACAGGCAGGGGGCCCTCAGCATCGCTTGTATCACAGCTGGAGATGGGAGAATTTTCCAGAGTCCGATGCCGAAACACAGGAGACTGTTGATGAGAAGAAAGCCCTCTGTGAGGAGTGGCTCTCAGCCCCGGCATTTCTCAGGGAGAAATAGTTTGGTGAAGAAGAAAGAGATGTGGAAATGGGCAAAACTAGGAAGGAGAACCTCAGGCAGGGCCTGATCCTCAGAGTCCTTTCAGGCAATGCACTTAAGAAAGAAAAGCTGAAGCCAAGGAATGGAAGACCAAGAAGTGGGATTCGAGGTCCACACTCCCACCCTCATTACCTTTCACCTGTCTGTTAACATGGAGCTTCCAAAGTCTGCAAATGTCTCCTGGAGCTGCCTACTACTGAGAGGGTTAGGCCTGGTAGCAGAAGCTGCAGTACCAGGCAACATTAGCTCGCTGGCTCTTCTACATAGGACTGCAAACAGTCCTCTGAGAAAGCGTGGCACTGTAGAGACCCTGTTATCATCATATAACACACAACACCAGAAACACATCTGGGATGTGCAGGACCATCCCAGAACCCCTGTGAGAGCCCTTGACTGCGGCGCTCCCAGCTCAATGTTTTGGCATAGACCAAGCATTTGGCATAGAAAAGCATATACCTTTTTTGGACATTCTCAGAAGCAGCATTGACCCGGGGTGAATGTGGTCCCTAGTGCAAAGCCAGAATCAAGACCTAGGTCTCTGGGTGTGGCCAGGCACTAGCTAGCTGTCTGCGGCAGAAGGATCTGCCTGACAGGCCACGCTTCTGAAGAAGGGGTCTGGCTACAATTACACAGAATGCTGCCACCAATGCCAAGAATGATGACAAGCACACTGCATAGAGAGGACCCTCAGGAGACACGGGAGGCAGCAGAGCATGGCCACCCAGTCCTGAGTCTTTGAGGACCATGCTTACTCCTGGCCAGGGGACAGCTGGGGAGAACTCAGCAACTCAGTGGCTAAGTCAGGTGAGGATGAGGAGCCATGACTCAAAGTGAGAGCTCAGACTTGAGAGGTGACTCCCTCATGCCTGATTTGGGGCATAGATCATGTTACTGTCACTGCAGATTCCAGATACCTGGTGGCATTGTCAGGGTGTGTTCATGTGGGCGAGTTTCTGCCTAGCAAGCTTGTATCAAGTCAGATTGGATGAAAAGGTAGAAGAGCTAGCCATTTGTCACCTGACCATAAAGAGGAAAGACATAGACTGAGCAACTCAGCATTGGCCTCCAGTGAACATAAGAGAAGCCAGTGTCTCCATACACCAGACACAGTGGGGACATTAGCCTGGTACCATCCATGGCTGTGAGCAAGCTGCCTGAGAAACTGTGGGGCACTTCTCTGTGCTGTGGCTTCAGGACGCTTACCTGTGGACTGGATGTGCCTGACTTGGGCTCAATGGCCAGTCCCAGGGTGACACCACCTGCCAAAGCCTTCTTCAGGCTCTCCTTGACCTCCGTCAGCTCCAGCTCCAGGCTGACCCGCTCCGCCTCCCTCTGCTTGCATTCTTCCTCCAGCCTCTTCAGCTTGTCCTCCAGGGCAGCCTGGGTCTTCCTGCCTAAAATGTCAGGACACGTGGTCACCTCACAGAGGGGTCAACCTAGCTGAGTTCTGCCGGGTCTTGCTTCAGTCCAGCTGCTCCCTGAAGAGCCCAGGCCCTATCCTAACACCCTGTGTGAGATCAGGGACAGGAACCAAGCCTGCTCATACTCACAAGCCCAAGGGGCCTCATGACACTCACTTAAAGGGCATGGTGTCTGAAGGGGACCCTGACTAGGAAGTTAAACAAGGAGAGGTCTCAAATTCTACCAGTTACTTATAGACTGTGTATGCTGTATATGTTACCTGTATATGTTGCCATGTTAAAAAAAAAAAAGAACCATGCCCATATCTCTATAGAAGTTGGCATCTATTTATCTATTTCTCCAAGGCTTGCCAGTTAACTCATTTCTTTGAAATCTGGTGCAATGACCAACATGGGCAAGAAATGGGCAGAGAAGAAAAGCGAGTCATTGAGGTGGGCAAACCAGAGGACATGGGGAGCCTAGCCTCTGCGGGACAGAGCTGGGACCTCTCTGCATCTCTGTCCTGTGACACATGGAGGTAGAGAAGCTGCTCATTACACACCATGCTCCCTCCATGCTCCCTCCATGTCATTAACTTGGCTCTCCATCCCTCCCAGGAAGCCTGATAGTGACACCTTGCCCACAGATTATACTGTGCCCATCTTCACCTCCCTTCCTGTTTCTGCCCCCCCAATTAGTTCCCTAAACAGCCACTATTCAGACGGAGCTCAATCTGGTTAACTATGATGGGCATGAGCACCAGTCTCAGCCTGCACTGAAGCCTTTTGGAAGCCAGTGTCCCCTCTGGACTCCCCCATCAGCTGCATACTCCCCTTCTCCTCAGCTGGTAGAAGCTAAACCTGAAAAGCCAGACAGCCTTGCCCCAGCGGGGGTGCTAGCCAGGATCAGAGGGAGGTATCGGTTTCCATCCCAGATCAGGAGGACTGGCAGGAGGAGGGCACAGCCTAGGCCTTTGTACCACCGGTCTCTAGACACCGCTACCCTGACAGCTGCCGCTGCTCACTGCCCCTCTTGCGGGATCACACACAGTCCTTTCCTCTGATTCCCACACCTGGGTGCAGCCTTGCTCTCCCCAGGCCCTTCTGAGAATAGAGAGCTGTTTTGACCTAGGCAGAGCCCTGAGAAAACTTCTCAGCCCCGGGGGCTACCTACTTCCACAGAAGCCCCACTGAGTTACCTCGGGCAAGGAACAAAATCTACCAACCTTCTTGGCTGCCAGCACTTGAGGCTGAAATTGGTGGAGTCTCACTGTGCAGGCAAGGACAAGCCCTGCCTATGGTGGCACCACCACTCAGTCACCCTTATGCTGCCCTGGGCTCCCCAAAGGTCAGTACCCCTGGAGGCCAGGCTAAAGAGGCAGCCTTGACTCACAGGACTGAGAGTGAGCTGAATGGGATCCAGAACTCCACTGAACACTAGTGTGTGAACCATCAGAGCCAAGTCCCCACTACCTGCATTCACTTCGATGGCGGCCCTCAGGTCCTTCCGCTCTTTCCGGAGCTGTGCCAGTCTGTTCCGCAGAGCCTCTTTCCTCTTCAGCAGCTCCTCCTCTTTGGACTGTAACCTCTTAGCGTCAGCTTCCACCCGGTTCTTACCATATTTGTACTGGTCAGCATCTGGGTAAGGAGCACCAGGAGTTAGCTCAGGCAGAGCCAATGTGTGGGGCTCAGAGGCTCTCAGGTACCACAGAGCTGCTCCTGGCTAGTCCTAGGAGGAAGGGGAGGCTTAGAGCAGGGAGTCTAAGTGACTTGCCTCAAATCCTCTAATACTTTGATCTGCCTATTTACAAATGGAAACAGAATACCGGGGAGTCACATCAATGTTCCTTTCCTCAAGGTATCAACTTTCAACTAATTGTCAATAAGGCTCAAAGTGAAGTTTCTGGATCCTGGCAAGTCAGTGGCCAGGACAGTTTTAACTGTCAACCTGACACAATCTAGAACCATCTGGGAAGAGAGCCATAATGAGGAATTATCTGGATCAGCTTGGCCTGTGGTCATGTCCATGAGGGGGTATCTTAATTATTACACCCTGAATTTTTACACCCTGAATGCGGGTGGTGCCATATCATGGGCTGGGCCCCGGAGTGTATCCCAGTGGGGAAAGCTGGCTGAATACTAGATGTCAGGAAGGTATCCATGAATCTCTTCTCTCTGCTCAGGGTGGTTGTGCACTGACTGGCTGCTTTAGTTCCTGCCTTGACCTTCCCACAAGGACACACTGGAACCTGTAACTGAAAGCCAAAAAAAAAAAAAAAAAAAAAAAAAAAAAAACTTTCTTCCCTAAATTGCTTTTGTCAGGGTGTTTGCTACAGCAAAAGAAATGAAACTAGAACAGCAATCTGTTACTGTCAAAAACAGCCTCTAGTGGGGCTGGAGGGATGGCCCCAGGATTAAGAGTACTGGCTGCTCTCCTAGAGAACCAGAACTCGGGGCCTGGCACCCACATGGCAGCTCACAGTCATCTGGTACTCCAGTTCAAGGAGATCCAATGCCCTCTTCTGCTCTCCTTGGTCACCAGGCACAAATATGGTGCACAGATATACATGTAGGCAAAACGCCCACACACTGAACATGGAATAAATCAATAACAAAGTAACTAGAGGTTATTTAGTCCTCTCTGTGTGCAACGCCTCTCCTCCCCACACTTGTGTTCTTAGCCTTGCTGGCTGGAGGGAGGATGGCTCCTGGCCCGAGATTCTGGCCTGGAAGAAGCAGATAGGGAGGTGAATGAGATGACAGGAAGGCCGCACATAGTGCTTGGAGATCCACTATTTTAGAGGGCAGTCTTGGAGCCCTAGAACAGATCTGTGCCTCAGTTTCTCCTCCTGTGAAATGGGAATAAGAGCATGTCGTTCAGCCAGGTCATTAAGCACATGCCTTTAGTCCCAGCACTCAGGGAGGCAGAAGCAGGAGGACTGCTGTGAGTTCGAGGCCAGCCTGATCTACAAAGTGAGTCTAGGACAGCCAAGGCTACACAGAGAAGCCCTGTCTTGAAAAGCCAAAATAGATAAGATAGATAGATAGATAGATAGATAGATAGATAGATAGATAGATAGATAGAT